AAGTCGAACATAGCCAAATGAAATATATATATATATATATATATATATATATATATATAATTCATACAAATGTATTATTTTTTAAGAATTAGTTGATATTAATTGTATTAATTAATGAATATCTTACAATACAATTATCTGTTGTTATGGCTTGCGCTCAAAAATAATTAGTCTCAAAAAACATTAAACATAATACATAAAGTTATACATATAACAATAGATTTGGTTGCAGAACCTCGTGATAAACTTCCCCGAAGCAGGAAGTCGGCGCGATCGAATTCCGTGCCGCGCATCACCGAGCGCAAGTGCGCCGCGTGTCAAGGCGGCGAGCCAGAAGCAGAACCCGAGCAGAGAAGGAGGAGCCGAGAGGATCCGAGACTGATCAGATCTGCGGTGGGTGTCGCGCTTGGTCTCGAGCAGAGATGCCGAACGATGACGGCCGACGACGGGGCGCGTAGGAATGGATTACCGCCTGCGAGGATGACGGTGCCGCGACCGAGAACCCCGTTCGCTAGACGCGCCTTCTGCATCGACACTCTGGCGCCGCCATTCAGCGTGGTGAGCGGTTGCCGGGACGCCGATTACCCCGAGCACTGGCGGCTTATGTCCGTATATCAGCAGTCCTACAGGAATCCGCAGAAACGAAGGTCTCGCCGCTTTTGATCGAAGCGGAAGAGATCAAGAGAAGAACTCTGACTCGCTGTCGAGTTGATTCTTCGAATGTTGGCTTTTTTGAGATAATAAGCTTTATGATTCTTATAAGAAACTGTTGCTTATCAGTTTGTTTATTGTTGATTGTTAATTTGTTACAATAATGTTGAGAGTTAAATAATTCCGTTGAATTGTTTCGATATATCGTTAAACAAATAATTAACTGCCATTGGCCAGATCTTCTGGCGTAATAAAAACGTTGTCCCCATTATAATTAATAATAAAGTATAAGCGTAAAATATAACTAACATGGAAAAAAATAAAAACGAGATAGATAAAATACTGAAAACGGTTTCGAAATCGGAAAGTATGATGAGTATAAACAGAAAACTTATCTTATTCGTCGAATCTCGCCATACCGTCCCTCTTCTTGGCCTTTATGCTGCTGATGTTGACGTTTCCGAACGACGGCGACGCATCCGCCTCGTGGACCTTCTTGAGCAGCGGCGTCTGCTCCAGCCGCGCGAGAGCGACGTTCTGGAGATGGGCCAAGAGATCGGGATAGGGCGCCAAAGTGTGTTGAAAATCGGAGCGTGACAGGATATAGACCTCGCAGTTCTCGACGGCGACGACGCTGGCGATCCAATGCTCGTCCTCGATCACTAGGGCCAATTCGCCAAAGTACGCGCCGTCCTCCATGTGGTAGATCTGCGCACGTAAAGTCCAAGAAATTCGAGAAATAAAAAGCTACTTTATTTTTACGTTCGTTTCACCTCCTTCCCAACGTTGTTGTAGACAGCCACGGTGCCGGAAGCAATAAAGTACAAGGCGTCACCGCGTGTCCCGGCTCTGACCAACGCGTCGTTCGGCATGAAAATCTCGGAGCACACGGAACTAATCAATTGCGTCACCACTAACTGCGGCAAGTGTCCAAATAGCCTCACGTTATTCAGCAATCGTAGATAGCTATGCAGAAGAAGCTTCTGAAAAACGAGGAGATTGATTTTATATAAGAAACATACTTGATTTCCGGAATATTTACAATATATTGTTCTTATGTTTCACATACAGAACGATTTAGAAAATTTTAGACTGACAATACTATGTTTTATTGCATTGTTATCGTTCAAGATATTATGATGGAATCGAAAAGGTTCTCATAACAATTCCTTATAACGGCTTTAAAGAAATTTGCGATCGCGCAATGAAATTATCTTAAAGGGAATATAGTTTGAATACGACTATAATATTTCGCACTTCTTAGAAAATATATATAAAACAATTCCGGAGACTTTCTATTCAAAGCTGTACCTCTCGCAAGTAAGGCGATACGTGATTGATGATTATCTTATCCCTCTCGAATCCCTTTTTGTTGCGGTAATTATAGTAGATCAGCAATCGTCGCTGCAAAGAATGCGGTAATTCTTTGTACGTCATGTATTGTTGCAGCTGCTGGATTAATTTCAAATGTCTCTTGTCGGTCGAATGAAACGTCGTCATCAATTGCAAGATTCGCGCTGCGCGATTCGAATAGGGGAGAGTTAGCGTATTTCGATTAACATATTTGATTTTAGGAATAGTTCGGACAAATTCTAATAAAAATCATTTCAAGAAATTTAATAGGGATGCAGCGTCCAAGTATGTGTGTGTGGGTATCTCTAATTCTTTTTCTTGATTAATAATTTAAATTCAAATAACTTTTATTGTAAATTTTTAATTTAATTATTGACTTTGGCAAAATTAATCTTTTTAATTAATTTATTAAAAATTATCATTGTACCCAGTAGATACACGAATCCGAGAAATCCGAAGATAGACAAGATTAGATTGTATATAATGTCTTCTGGTGCACTGACATCCAAATATTGCGCAGCTCCAATTAGGGCGATGATAGCTCGATTAATGCAAGTCAGGTAAATTTTGTATTTCGTTTCCCTCTTCTCCATGTAAGGTGATCGTATCCAAGATCTGCAATTTATCCCTTTCTTATTATATTCTTGGCGCTGTTGTATTTTTGTTGGCAGGGAAAAAAAAGAGAAAAGTGATTTAGCGAATTTAAATTTTTCGTATAAAGAATATGATATAGAGACATTCTATCGATTACTTAACGGATCTTTCTGTCCGGCTATCTTGTCAACCACCAATGGTAGATAATACTCTATACAGGCGGCCCAATGCACGCCCACGACGATGATGACGCCTATCTCCGCTATTTTGTACAGGTGAAAATTAATTCGGTATACCTGAAATTTTAATTATCTGTGTGAATAGAATCGATTCCGTCGAATCGCAATGAAGGTATCTCATCCTGACATGATAGAGTTTGCGCGAGTAAACGATGACGGTTCGTATCCTCAGTATTTTCAGCAAGTTCAATGAGGTCAGGTACCACATCGAGTCGGTGAGCACGACGATAAATTCCAACGGTAGTACGGATAACGCGTCCACGATGAAGAAACCTCGTAGATACTTGCTACGATGATAGCGTCACGTAATGTTGAAAAAAAAAATAGAAAATCCCTCATTTTTCCAAATATTTAAATTCATATTTTTTTCAAAGTGTCTACTCAGTATAACATTCTCAGTACAAAATTCTCTAATATTCCAGATATTTTTGTTCAAAGTTCCAGGTAAAGAGAATTTATAAATGTAATTTTTTTGATAATTTAAAAAAAAATGTGTTGCATGTAATTGTATAATCTCCGTTCTTTTCTTTAAATATTGATTCAGGACGATTCGAGAAAAGTAAGTTTTTTTATTGTAGGTTCAAGACTAGTACGCCATTTTCGTGTACCTCGCTACAACCCTCGGATCCAGAATCACCAGTTGCGTACGAGAATCGTAGTGACCGGTGAAAAACCTGATTATTATGTCGCACATGAGCATGGCGTCGATCGCGTGATTGTACATATACCATTTCGCGCATTCGTCAAAATAAAATGTGAGGAAAACCGGTGTGATGAGCAGAACAACTATGATGAACAGCGTCATGATAGACTCCCAAAATATTCTACGTATAAGAAACTTTATTCAATTGAATTTTACTTCAAGATAAAATAGATTCTTAATTCAATTTCTTGATTGAGTTTTCGATTTTTCGTGCAGAAACGAGTTTGTGACTGACCTGAAGGAACTGAAGGGATGGATCATGTAAGGATGGGACTTGAGATGATGACTGATCTCGTAATCAATCGCCCGAGTACTCTTCAGGCACCATCGCGTGAACGGGTGCAGTGGCGACGTTATCCGTGTTCCGAGAAACCAACGACGTATCCTGGACCAAGCGGAGCTCCCGGGTATCGTTCTCATCAATGGATCTTCCTTCGGGGATACCTCGCAAACATGTTCCACGCGGGGCTCATGCTGTAGTTATCGATTATTGACTGAACGAAATTTGATAAAAATCATGGCGGTGGTGATAGAAACCACTATAGGAGATTTCACGGTAGATCTCTATATCGACGAGCGTCCTCAAAGTAGGTATACTTAATTTTTTTCATCATATGATGAAGAAAATTTATATTTCACATATTTATCATTAATTTATAAATTAGACATAATATTTTTAACACTAAATGTAAATCAAAAGTATATATACACACACATAAAAAAAAAAAAAGATATATTTCGTTATTTTGAATAATGCGAAAATGTCGGTATCGAGATAATTTGAATTCAGTTAGAGGAGAACTTAAATAAGCATCATTCGATGTGTGTGTGTTTTTTTTTTTTTTTTTTTTTTTTTTTTTTTTCTCCCGTACGTCGTACGTAATTTGCATCTTTTTTTTATAGCGACTCACTTATAAAATTACCATATCTCTTGCGAATTAAATTATCTCTAAATGACTACAAACGCGATTTTTACACAAACATATATAGAGGTACATTGATAGGTTTAATTGTCGGAAATGAACAGGTATCTGAGTTTAGGTGCCAATCTTTTCTGTCGCAACATCAAAATGGACACTGGCGTAGCTTTGCAAGTAGGGTTGTAATTCAAACCTTTTTTTTACATCAAGTAAAATTGTCAGCATTATTTCGAGTACAAAACATTTGAAAGCGCTTATCCGCGTCGATCTAGACACGAAGCCATCGATCGACGGGCCCGCTTTCTTTTTCGTAAATCTCTCCGAACGATGGAGTCGATTTTCGTAAGGCCACGGGAAGTTCTACGGATTCTACTGATACCAGTGCAGTAATAAGTAAAGCTATCGAAACCACGGACTTTGTTCGTTAAATAAGGCGCGAAGTCTCTTATAATTTCGCGATGAAATAGCACAGCTTGTCGCGGAGCAAACGGCCGTATCAAAAATAGAGAGCAAAGAGGAGGGGATCCAGCGGCGAGATACTGCTCGAGCATCGCCGTAGATTCGAGAAGGAGTATCGTTTCTCACGAAAGTTGCGCTCT